GAAGCTCAAGAGATTCTCAGAATTAAATAGACAGACCAGAGAAAGGTCACAGCTACATGGCTGGATGCGGAATGATGGACTTTCAGCGTTACAAATGTGTTTTATAGATAAGAGGCCAAACACCATTGTAGGAAGCATCTCTAAATATATTTTATTTTTACTGATTTGCATTGGATTCTTTATTGTGTGTTATTATGATTATTCAGGTTTCACATTTATGGTGCTGTACAGATAATTTTGCACTTTTTCCATTAATAACCTTCCCTAGTAAGGCGAGAATCACTACAATAGGCATATACAGAGCCTGCACATACTTTAGGCCAATTTAGGCAGAACTCAGCTAAGCTCCATGTAGATATTATGGCGGAAACTTAACTTTCATCTTATAGAAAAGTAACATTTACAACAGCTTAAAGCTAAGCTCCAGGCAAACAGCTAAATACAAAGCCTAAACACATATATGAAAACTGTCTAATTAACAACACAAATGATTTAAATGCAGATTTGTGATCCCAGGATACTTCAGTCAAAAAACACCCTTAACTTCCATGATGAAGCCAGCAGTCTTCTTGTAGGGAAGTGCAGCGTGGTGTGGAGAGGAAATACACAGAGTCCAGTTGGAGTAAAACCTGTATCAAACAGACTGCCAATGCTGCAATAGCCAAGCGGGAGAATACTGCTAGGGAAATAACTCACAGTTCAATATAGCTGGATGTAGAGAAGGAGAGGTGCCGACAGTGTCCGTTTCAGAGGATGAAGCGTGGCCTGGCTAGTCTGGTCCCAAGAGGGAAGCTCCTTTCAAGGATAGCGAGCCCCTCATCTTTCCCTACTCATCAGTGGTCTCTATCCGTACACTGGCCACACACTAGAAGCACGCCAAAACCTGGAAGCAGGGACTTAAATAGACCCTGCTGAACCATGGTGGTCACTGAGGGTCACATGGGTGCAGTGCACCCAATTGAAACGCTAATCCATTGACTCAGGAAACTGTAGAGAATTGTTGCTTGTGCGCCACCTGCAGTGGAGAAAACAAACTGCACCTGCCTACATACTCACTCTGCTCTCTTCTCCTACCAGTATGATTCCTTACAATACAGTACAGTACATGTGCTTGCCACAGAGCCTGCTTGAATCCTAGTGCGTCCACTCCTTCTAGTACTGCTCCTCAATCTTCTAGTCTGATTGCTGCAGTACAGAGGAATACAGAAGGCTGATATCAAGACAAATTTACACTAGCTGCAATTAGAAATACATTCAGTGCTTTAAAGTCTATGTCCAGCCAACATATTTTATTAAGGTTTTGGATAGCGTGGGGAAACCTAGAAACCCTGCCTTGATTTTACTGGTATCTGGAACTCCAATAGAGAGACAATTGTTTCATCAGAAGGAAGTTTAGAGAATCTCTTCTAGCAACAAAAATTTCCATATTTTCTATCCAGGAAAAAACAGCAGGAAAAGATTGACAGGGTTCTAAACTTATTCACAGTTTTGGCTGGATATATACATTAAAGGAATAGATAATGGCAGTAATTGGTGTTTATTTGCATATACTGTATGCCTGGAATACAACTTTACAGAGGTTTTCTGCATGTCCACATTACCCCTCTGATAGGTATTTCACTTGGAACTTCCTAATCAGTTGTTATAACAGAGCTATCAAGCTTGTTCAAGGTTACCACTATCTTGATATCTTTCTGGATCTTCAAAATCTATTGCTTTTTAAAAGGATTCTAAGTGCAGCCAAAATAATTAAAACACATAAAATCAGCACAAGGGACATAACCTAGAACTAGTAGGATGTGTCCGTTGTGCTGCTGCCTCTTCTTTTTGGTGAAGTACTCCTCCATCAATTCCCCCCTTCCCACCTTTGCTGTCATAATCTTCCAGTGCGGTGGGGGTTATTAGAATTGTGGGTGCTGTGTCGGCCTCTCATCAAGCATGCCCGACTAAGCCTGTCCTTTCTGCCCAGCATCTCCATTCTTAGAAGTCACACTATAGCTTTGATGAATGAAAAATGATCTATTAATGAGGAGGAGGACCATTTAATCACCGGACTGTCCCCCTAGATCCTATAACATTCATAGAAGCTGTACTATTGCTTCGATGAATGATGAAGCTGGGCAAAAGGGATAGGCATAATCGGGCACTCTTGATAAGAGTCTGCGACAGAGCCCCCAGTTCTATTAACCCCTGCCGCACTGGAATATTACAGCGGCATCAGCTCAAGAGACACATCGTACTGACCATAAGTTATGTTCCCTCTGCTGGTTTTGTGGGGGGGGGGGGGTAACGTTGGCTGCACTCAGGGTTTTAAATGTGATAAACACAGCCTGTTATTTGATTGGTTGTATCATTTTTTAATTTAATTATTAAGGCACTATTAACAATGGTTTTGTTCCATGAGGAATTTCATGTATATCCACAATCTTTCTTACATCTAGTTTTAGAGGAAAGCATTCTTTGTCCAATCTCTTAATATGTTGGATACAAGATATTTTAGAACTTTCAGAGTAATTTGGAGTTGTGTTCAGATATGGCTGCCCCCATATAGTGATCACAGTTTTGTGAGAGCTAAGAATGCTAATTATCATTTAAAATGTAATTACTGGAATAGGCATATGAGGTGGTGCCAAATTATTATTATTATACCGTATGTACAGTATATAGTGCCAACAGGTTGCCCAGTGCTTTACAAAATAAAGGGAGACAATACAGTTACAATACATTTTTAAGGCAAGAGGGTTAGGAGGTCACTGCATGCAAGAGCTTACAATCTAGAATCAACATGTAAAGCTACATGTGTGCCTTTACCTACTTCACTTGTATGGGGCCTGAGCAGTGTCTCCATGCTCCAGCACATTTGCAGAAAGCAAGGAGCAGACAGACATGTCTGAGAGGGATCTGTGTCATAGATAGATGGACCACCCTTTCAAAGTACACAATGGATGCCCCCGCTCAGGATACAGAGGACCTGGAGATGTGATTAGTACTGTAACTATACCGTCTGTGCAAGGCACATGTACTTTTACAAAGTTCAGTATCTGGTCACTTGAAGAATATAATCTGGGAGTTCATGTCCATCTGTTGTTGTTTGTATTATAGGGACATCATGTTCAAGCATGTTCTGCAGGTCACACATAAACTGGATGGATCAAAATGTTAACTGGCAGGTCATCTGTTACATAAATATGATGAGAAAAATAAGAATAATACAGTGGAAAATAAAAAAGAAGACTAAAACCTTAAGATGTAGTTCAAAGAGTGGATTATTACTGCTTACCCTGCCCACCGCTATCAACCAATGAGCTCATACTTCACTAAATAATGTTCATCATGTGATCAGCTCGCTGCACATCCAGAACCATATCATAAGCTAATTGTAGGTGGAGCAGGGCAACACTCCTTCCCAGGAGCAGCACAATCCAAAACCTAAGTAGTCAGCACTCCTTCTGGCTGTCATACTCCCTGCTATCTATAGTAATTATTTTCTGCCCAGGGGAAGACTGACCATTTGGAATCTCGGGCACTGCCCAAGGGCCTGGAGTCAGTAGGGGGCCCCATGAGATGCCCCTGGTACCTTTTTCATAGGCTTTTTTGGTTTGGGCAAGGACACAGGGGCCCCATGATCCCCTATTGCCCGGGGGCCCCATGAGTTGTCAGTCCGCCCCTGTTTCTGCCATTAGATGTCCTCAATAGTCCAGGTCTAATGACACTCTGGGCCATTTACCCCAGAGGACTGATGGCATTAGGAAGTGCAGAGCATCATAGACCCACCACATGTCACCACAGTACCCTGCTCTTACAGTATAATAATGGTCAGTGCCACCATCTGCAACATTAAGGACCAACTATCGCAGGGGGATATCCAAAGGATTGGAGGACTCTATGGGGTTTATTTACTAAAGCTGGAGAGTCCAAAATCAGACTCACTTCTGCATAGAAACCAATCAGCTTCCAGGTTTCATTGCCAAAGCTTCATTGAACAAGCTGAGGTTAGAAGCTGATTGGTTTCTATGCAGAAGGGAGTCTGATTTTGGACTCTCCAGCTTTAGTAAATAAACCCCTATGTGTCATATGGCCAGCCTGAAGACACCTGGAAAAATAAGTATAAAAGAAGCCTCGTTTTTAGTGGGGGGGGGGGGCGTGTTGGCTGGGCCAACGGTGCATAGTCTGGAATTGGGCTTTAAACTTTATACCTTACTTATGACCAGGTACAGGACAGATACACATTCACTTGTGCTATTATTTTTAGTTACATAATCTGAATTTGTAAAAATTCTCTAATGAAGCATGTTGATTTGATTTATAGCTGATCATAATCACTCAGTATCAGGGGCGGACTGACAACTCATGGAGCCCCTGGGCAATAGGGGATCATGGGGCCCCTGTGTCCTTGCCAAAACTCAAAAAAGCCTATGAAAAAGGTACCAGGGGCATCTCATGGGGCCCCCTACTAACCCCGGGCCCTCGGGCAGTGCCGAGTTTCCAAATGGTCAGTCCGCCCCTGCTCAGTATATAGCCTATATACAGAGAAGAGAAGGTATGGCATTTCAATGATGTAATTGTTAGGAGAGTACAAGAAAGAATGATCAGACCGCATGGCATACAAGACGTCACCACTATTGGTTGACCCTTGTCTCCATAAACTATGTCCATGTGTAACCTTCTCATCCTTCCCTGATGCATCTGCTAAACTACCGTATATCACACAGCAAGTAAGGAAAACAATGAGTGGAGAGTTAAGTAAATACAGATTTGGAAACACAGCTCCATCTATATTAGTAACCTTTAGCAAACTATTAGTATTTCACATGTGTTGGCACGAATCCTCAAATAGTGAATAGATGCTTTGGAATGTATAATCAGTTCCACTGGGAGGTATTTGCAAAGTGTGAACCAATACAATAATATGAATTGTGAAAATGAGATATATAATTATACAAATATTTAATTGTGCATTGGACACTAAAAAAAACCCTGCATGTTTTTATTTTTCCCAGAACCAATGCCGGACTTCTCAATGGACTCAAACAATGGGAACTGTGGTGGAGCTGTCAGTGGTGAGTTTCTTTTAATCTAAATGCATCAAAATAGTGACCTATGCTGTTCTTGTGACCTGGTTTTAGTAGGTAAAATACAGGTAAATGTCACTGCAATGATAAACTGCAGAAAACATTGCTGTCTTTATTTCAGCAAAATGCAAAACAAATAATTGACAGAGAGCTTATAAACTATATTCAAGACAGAGTTTTTCCTAAGTGCACTTTTCTATAGGAATCAAACAGGATGCGCTCTACTAAAACCAGACCAGTACATAATAGATCCAGATTTGCTACGGGTTAATGCACTTAAATTGTCTCTAATGGTAAAATCTTTTTGTTTTAGTTTTTAATAGAGTGTTAAAACCCCTGCCTGAGCACCCCAGGGATAACCTAAGGGGGCCATACATGGATTAAAATTTGGCTGGTTCAGCAGAGACTGGCCAAATTTTGATCCATGTATGGGCTAGCTGATTTTACACAAGTCAATCTATCAATCGATTTGTATACAATCAACCTGTTGGGTTTTTCCTGAATAACTGGTGTTGTCAGATATAGCCGGCAATACCGATAACTGTAATACAATAGCTTAATGGGAGTGATTCCTCCATCCACATTGAATATGTAGATGGGAGAATCCGTTCCTTTTATTTTACATTAAATCCACTGATTAAAGACACACACAAAAAAAAAAAATGTATAGCCCCTTCCTGTTCCAACATGACTGTACACCAGTGCACAAAGCAAGGTTCATAAAGACATGGATGAGCGAGTTTGGGGTGGAGGAACTTGACTGTCCTGCACAGAGTCCTTAGATTCCTTCTTCAGTCTTTATAAAGCATATCGAATGAATCTAGGTTGTCCCAAAAGCTTGCATATTAATAAATTAACCAATAAAGGGTATCACTTAAACTCCAAACTTTCTGTGATGCCTGCACTGAGAACTACTATGCAAATACACTGTATTTCCAAATGTATTGGGACACCCCACGAAATGATTGGATTCAGGTGTTCCAATCACCTCCATGGCCACAGGTGTATAAAATCAAGCGCCTAGGCATGCAGACTGCTTTTACAACCATTTGGGAAAGAATGGGTCGCTCTCAGGAGCTCAGTGCATTCAAGCATGGTACTGTGATAGGTTGCTACCTGTGCAATAAGTCCATTCGTGAAATTTCCTTGCTACTAAATATTCCACGGTCATTAGTGGCATTATAACAAAGTGGAAGCAACTGGGAACAACAGCAACTCAGCCACAAAGTGGTAGGCTACATAAAATGACAGAGTGGGGTCAGATCATGCTGAAGCATACAGTGCGAAGAAGTCGCTAATTTTCTGCCATAGCACTCCAAAATTCATGTGGCCTTCAGATTAGCACAACAGCAATGCGTAGAGAGTTTCATGGAATGGGTTTTCATGGCCGAGCAGCTGCATTCAAGCCTTACATCACCAAGTGCAATGCAAAGCGTCCAATGCTGTGGTGTAAAGCACACCACCACTGGACTCTAGAGCAGTGGAGATGTGTTCTCTGGAGCAACAATTTACACTTCTCTGTCTGGCAATCTGATGGAAATGACTGTGTTTGGCAGTTGCCAGGAGAAAGGTACTTGCCTGACTGCATTGTGCCAAGTGTAAAGTTTGGTGGAGGGGGGATTATGGTGTAGGGTTGTTTTTTCAGGGGTTGGGCTTGGCCCCTTAGTTCCAGTGAAGGGAACTCTTAAGGCTTCCACATACCAAAACATTTTGGACAGTTTCATGCTCCCAACTTTGTGCAAACAGTTTGGGTATGGCCCCTTCCTGTTCCAACATGACTGCACACCAGTGCACAGAGCAAGGTTCATAAAGACATGGATGAGCGAGTTTTTGGGGTGGAGGAACTTGACTGTCCTGCACAGAGCCTTGACCTCAATCTGATAGAACACCTTTGGGATGAATTAGAATGGGACTGCGAGCCAGGCCTTCTTGTCCAACATCAGTGTCTGACCTTACAAATGCGCTTCTGGAAGAATGGTCAAACATTCCCATAGACACACTCCTAAACTTGGTGGACAGCCCTCCCAGAAGAGTTGAAGCTGTTATAGCTGCAAAGGGTGGACCAATTCAATATTGTACTCTACGGACTAAGACTGGAATTCCATTAAAATTCATGTGAGTGTACAGGCAGGCGTCCCAATACTTTTGGGTTTGATTTAACTAAACTGGAAAGTGCAAAATCTGGTGCAGTTCTGCATGAAAACCAACCAGCTTCCAGTTTTTCTTTTGCCAAAGCTTAATTGAACAAGCTGAAGTTAGAAGCTGATTGGCTTCTATGCACAGCTACACCGGATTTATCACTCTCCAGTTTTAATAAATCAACCCCATAGCACCAGGGTCAGACAAGTCAAGGGAAACAGTCAGTGCACTTTAAGCAATTATGTCAAACTCCTTTTATGCTAATATTGCCCAGTAGGAATGTATGTCCCCAGCTCCTATAATAGATCTTCATATTCATTTATAAAAGTAAAAAACTGAATTAAAATGGCCTTTTTTTGACCCTTATGTCACATAACTATTGGTGATCAAGTAAACCTATTCCATTAAACCTGCCTATTTGTTCCTTCCCACACTGTAATCTTCCTGCCTTAATCTCATTGTCTCTGCAAACCATAATTGTACTTCTGACTCAGCTCATGTTACTTGTGACTGCTCTTTAATTATGCTGAGACCTGATATCTTTTACGTGAACATCCTGATGTGATTAAAGGTGGCTGGAATGACAACTTCATTTCTTTTATTTTGACAATTTTTGGATGTGAAGACTTGTTGTCCTTTCCCGCTCCATATGTCATCTGGTTCCCTAGTTAACATCTATGTAGGAATTATATTTAGTCACTGGTCAACAAAGAATGTATATATGCAAGGTACATACCTTGTATATAAGATCACTGTCATTTAATGTACTAGTAATAGTGACATAGTCAACCCATGAAAGAAGGAGATGTAAGTGTATCGCTGTCAGCTTACGCAAGGCTGAGACTCATGAGATCAGTTGCTGGTGATTGGAAATCTGGAACCCTAGTGAAAGCAGAATTATTGTTTCTTCACAATTCATAACCTTCCCATGTGTACGGGATACACGCATACTTTTACTAGTAGTACAAAAAATATTTTGAAGCTGGGGAGTACTTAATATGTATCTGTTACTCAGGATAGGGGACCTAAGCATGATGTCTTCTGTCCTTTGTTTACTTGCTGTGTGCTCACATTACATTAGTTTAAAATAAATGTGACCATAAACCTACAGAATAAGCCTCCATTAACATTCAACGTTTTGTCAAGGCGCAAAAAAAACCCCTGCATATGCATGTTTTTTGTGCGTTTTTGCAACAACAGGCATAGGGCAGCCCATTCATATAAATTGGGCTGCTGTATAAGCAACAAATGCGGTAAAGTAAAAAAGGCATTTTTTTTTAGGAGCTGAGCTTTGCACTTTTTTAACCTTGAGTTTTGTGTTGTTTGAGGTGCCTTTAACAATAATTGACAACACACAAGAGTGCCATGCATTTTTCATAAATGCGCACAAAATCACAAAACGCTAATTGTGAATGCAGTTCTAAACTGCCATTAAACCAGCAGAGTTTGGTTCCAAAATTTTTATTTTCAGTACGAAAATTTTGCGAAAAGTTGGTATTTTTCAGCTGAGAAAAATAATAAACATTGCAATGCGCATGTTCTAGGCACAGAGGAAACCTATTTAAATCGTCTAAAACCTATTCAAAAAAGGACTTTTGAACAAAATTAGTTGACTCAATGATAGCATGATCAAATGATAAACAGTTTTTATGAATTTCTATACGAATGTTCAAACAACATTTTTTGGTCTATGGCCATGGCCATTTCTATATCTTGGTAGTGGGAGGCTCATCCACTCTAATTTACATACCCCTTTTCTTAGTGACAATGGTCAGAAGAGAATTAGGCACCATTTTGTGATTGTGACATTTGTTTGTATATACCAGTGGTTCTTAACCTGGGTTGGATCGAACCCCAGGGGTTCGGTGAGTCAGTGTCGCGGGTTCGGCGGAGGTGAAGACCCACACCCGACTCATATGATTCGTGCAGTAAATATTCATTATTATGTTTTTGTTTTTGTGTGTGAAAATCATGTTTTAATGGTTTTGTTCTTTGTTCTTAATGGTTTTGTTCATTTTGTGCACCTATGTATAAATATATACCTAAATATATACCTATGTTTTGAATTTGAAAAATCATATTTTATTTTTCCAATTAAGAAGGGTTCGGTGAATGCGCATATGAAACTGGTAGGGGTCAGTACCTCCAACAAGGTTAAGAACCACTGGTATATACAATACTTGAAGTTAAATTCCAGACAATACAAATGCTTTGTAATTATGTGAGGCATGTATTTACATCCTTGAATCTTGCACGTTTTAATAAAGGTAGAATAAGACCTATCTATATGCCCAGTCAAATTCAAGGCAAATAATAAAACAGCATTTTTACTTGCACATGATTGGATAACGGAAGTCAGAAGAGCTTCTCCTCATTCACTAAGTTCTGGGGAACATTCCCATGCAAAGTTAACAGTCTGTTTGCTTTTAGTAAATCAACACTTTATATTAAATTTTCTGAGGTTGATCTGGCCTTCAAAAATGGAGGTGATGCCCATAACTATATCAAAATCTTCCATACAATAGCAAATCTATAGACTTCAGATTTAATTTGTAGCAGTGGCAAGGTAAAAAATCATGGGATAATTATGATAAGTTCTAATATTTATTTTGGACAGGGTGTAGTCTATCCAGAAATTGTTTGTATGATGTAGGTGAACCAGTCCACAGAGTTTAGGCTTTTTGTCTCCCTACGTTTGTGACTTGACTGTCCATGCGAGTAGAGTGGTGATCCATCTTATTTATCAATATTTTACTATTTAATGATATATATGTACTCTATTTATATATTTAAACAATATTTAAATAGTGAATGGGAAAGAACCCCCTTTAGGTCAAACAGACTAGCTTTGACATGCTGCTGAGATGACGCCTTACCGAACCTGAGACCTGCAATTTTCCTGATGGGGAGAGGAAGTGGTCTGAAAAATCCAGACCAGCAGAGAACCAAGGTTACATTTTCCATCCAAGATAAACTCTTTTTTTGTCTTAATAATGCTGTCTTTGTTCATTCATTTCTGCATAATTGTACATTAAACATTGTAACCATTTTTGGTCATTTGGCACAGAGACCTCAGTGAACCGTGCCCAGATATGTTTGGACCAGAGGCGTCTGTCAGTAAATCTGAAAACTATGAAATGCTGAAAATGTAATATTCCTGTAAATTATACAAGCCTCTGCTGATTGAACAGACGTAAGCCTACACAGAGCTGCACTGACCATGGGGAGCTCACCCAACAGGCTCTGAACACTGGATGCTTGTGAATAGTGAGAAAAAGATTGTCCAAGGGTCTAATTCTTCAGATACAAATGATCACTTTCTACATACAGTCAAATAACAATTGTAGCTAGTCAGAGAAATAGACTGTTCGTGAGTATTATATCCTACCTGACTCTCGTGTGCCCAGTGGTTTTAGATATTAAAGCCCAACCAACATCAATTCTTTTTTAAGTTTTGCATAACATGGGGAAGAGATAGACCATCTGTCTGTGTGTTTGTTAGACATATTTCCTCTCACTTCCTTTCTCACTCACAGAATCAGGTGGTTAGAGGAAGTCTATGGCATAAACATCAATATAAAGTGCTTGTCATGGTCTTTACTGCAGTTTCTTGTTTGTGAAATTCTTACCTCCTTGCTGCAGTAGTTCTCTTAGACCCGTGATTCCATTCACATGTGCTGCTGGCTTCTATGTTTGCCTATGGGCATCACCTGCTCTACTGTGGATTTATATCCCTTTCCATTCTATCACTTCCCACCTCCCTGTCTGCTTCCCTATATATAGACATGCTTAGTGCAGCCCTCGATGCCTGAGCAACTTCCTAGTTTCTCTGTGCCCCTGGTTTGTCTTGAATTACTTGTATTCTGAGCCTGAATACCCGTATACCAACCCAGTTTCATCTTCTGTTTTCACTTGCCTTCTGCCTACCCTGACTTTGGCTCCTTTCCCAGATCCTCTTGTCTCCTAGCATCTGCACCCTGCTCACGCAAGTGGTTTCCACATTGTTAGCTGGGCATACCTGCATGCTGGTACCTGGTTTCGGGGGCCCTGGTGAAGAAGCAGGTTGGGGCTTAAGGTTCACTTCCTGGGGAGCCCTGGGTTGGCTTTGTACAAGGGCTCACTACCATAGAAACCTAGCAGTACTTCTTTAATAGTATGTAGAAGGAGCTGGACCTTTTTTGGGCTCTTTATTGACAACTGCATGTTGAATGTAAGGGAAATCTCTCCAATGGTGACACTGTAATTACAAGTGTGCGGAAGTTAAAACTCTTCCCTGCTTATAATAAAATGAGTCAGACTTGAGATTTAAGTAGGTGAGGCTAGGGTACACTGGGAAGCTCAGAAAACGTGCTGAGCAGCAGAGAGGTAAGAAGAAAATCATCCAAGGGTTTGATCTGATTTTGAAACATGTGATCCTTTTCCATTGTAAATAGCTATTGAGCTAGATGTTGATAATTGCCACTGAAACAAGAAATATGAAGAAGTCATCCAATGGGGGCAAGTTTTGCAGTGTGGGCAATGGAAGAAGTGCATTCTAAACCTTCTTCTTTACTGGTAACTCTCAACATCAGCATTGACATTTTTTATTTAAGTGACAGTGCAATTAAGTGGACTTGACTTGGCAGACTCTTGCAGTTCCTGTATAGTGGAGCTCAGACTAGGAGAAGGAGAAGCAGCACGGGGTGCCAATCAGTTATGCTACAGTGCTCATAAGCAGCATGCTGAAAGAAATAATAAAATGACAGACAGATGACCTTATCAGGCTGCTACTTTTCCTTTCACTGTCCAATCACAGGCTGGGGGGTGGGTGGGATTGGTGCATCATCTGTAGGTTTTACTACAGCAGAAAAATTAGGTCTTTTGATCTGCCAGACGGTGCTGTAACACAAAGCAGAGCTGTGGAAATCGTAACTAGATAGACAAAAATACAAATATTTTGGATGGTAAAATAGTAGCCATAGGTATAATTGTTCAATCTGTGTGTTTTAGCTGTTTGCCAGCTTTACCAGTAGATTAAAGTTTGTTTTAAGTGTGTATTGAGGAATGGTGTTATTGTTTGTGAATAAGGGTGTTCATTGAGTTTTATCATTTTAGTACATTTTCTTCCTCTGTAAGAGTATATGCTAAATGTTTGTGCACACCTGACCATCACACCCATACTATATGAATAAACATACGTGGACACCCCTCCAAATGTTTGAGTCCAGGTGTTTCCAGCAAAGGGTACTGTCAATGCAACCACTTACAGTACTAAGACATTTTAGACAATTTAAGGACATTCATGAGTATGGCAAGAGGAACCCGAGTGGCCTGCCCAAAGACATTGCAAACTTTTTTGTAAAGCCTTTCCATAAGAGTAGAGGCTGTTCTCTAGGCCTATGGTTTTGGAATAGGATGTCTAATAAGCTTCTTTAGCTTTCATGGTAAGATTTCCACCAATTTGTGTTCATATAGTGTGTGTCATATTCATACTTATTTTATACATGTTTTGTGGGCACAAAGGAATTTGGAAACACACAGTAAAAGTGGCCAGAGAAAGCAAAAGTTGTAGGTTGGTGCTTATGTAGCATAAACGGTGCTATGTGTTTATGACATCTACCACTCACCATAGATGAACATAAATGTTGTACAGTATATGATAACTATAGATGCCAGTGGTAGTGGTTGCAAAATGTGCTGCCTGTACTGTCTGCACTATTCATGCTTCAGTGTTATGTAGAATCTCTCTTCTGCTTTTATTCTTTCACAACGTTTAAATGTTGAACATTTTGTGCAGCAAACTGCACATTTCTTATAACATTGGCATTATAAACAGATTAATGGATAGCTATGCTGCTGCCCTGGAATGTTTGATGGAGCACAAAACCAGCCTAATGAATTCTCCCAAGAAGCCATGCACAAGAGCTGACACAATGTGTGGGGTTACAGTACTATAGACATAGTAGCCACTTGGTGAATTTCAATGAGCCACTCTGGTTATAGAAAAAGCTTGTGTGAGTGTAGTGAAAATTAAAGGAAAAAATTACTTCTGTTTTATCTACCTGTAAATGGATTTTTATTTCCCATTTACACAATACATATCATATATCCTGCTTAGATAAATCTTTGTCTCTGATAACATTTATTAAAAAGCTGAAAATATCATGTAATGTAAAAGTCATGTATTGGGGGAGATTTACTAAAACTGGAGAATACAGGTAAAAAAACCTTCTGTGTGCAGCACTCCCCACAGCCTCCCCCCCCCCAATACTCACTTGAGCTGCATTGCGAAGCAGCGATGTGCACAAGAGCCAGAGACACTCCCTCCTCATTTGCTGAGACAGCAACAGGACCTGTCAATCACAGCCAGTGAGCCAATGAGGAGAGAAAGAGGGCTGGACCAAGCCGCCATTCTGTGTGTGGACACACAGAGCAGCTGCTCGGGAGCGCACCTATTTGGGTGCCCCCATAAGCAAGCTGTTTGCTCTGGGAGGCACCCAACAGAAGGGAGGGTCCAGGTGCGCCGGTGGAGGACCCCAGAAGAGGATGATCGGGGCTGCTCTGTGCAAAACCACTACACAGAGCAGGTAAGTATGACATGTTTGTTATTAAAAAAAAAAACTGAGCCTTTAGTATCACTTTAATTGAACAAGCTGAAGCTAGAACCTGATTGGTTACCACGCACAGCTGCACTAGATTCTGTGTGCACCAGTTTTAATAAATCTCCTCCATTATCTCTCTTATCAACAAAATTTACATAACTAAGTTTATCTGGAAAGCTTTTATATAAATGCTACAAAATGATAAAAAAAACTAAATCCTGCAAAATGCAAATATGCAGTAATCAATAATACATTAGGTAAGCAGAGATTTATTTTCATTGTTAGTCTTTCTGTGCAGATGCTTATCATAGCCATTTATAAATCATCTTTTTAGTTTGAAAATCCTATGAGACCGTAATTACAACTTAAAGTGGCACTGTAGTTGTGCATAGCCCTGCCCCATCTTTTCCCTTAAATATGATAGACATTACAAGTGGGGGGGGGGGGGGGGGGGTAAATCCCAGTAAACATTCAGTTCCTGAAATTGCTATTTGCATATGAGAGTACTGGGGCCTCTGAATCACTGTATGAGGTACAGACTGGGAAAGCAGACTGGGGGACCTTTCCAGGTAGACTTGAGATGTATACTATAAGAAAGGGCAACTTATAACATCTGGCCTCCCCCACTCTTTACAAATTGCTTCCTGATAATTGTAAAAGAAAACACTGATAGAAAAAGTTAGAAAATAATGTTACCTTACCACCAACTTTCACATTGGAGAGGGTTATGTCAAAATCCTTCCAATGAGATCCTAGAAATGCTGCTCATCTCAAATCCCATGAGAAGATGCTTCAACACTGTGTGGGAGCATATTTTTACAAGATCTGGGGCACTCATCATACCCAGGATCTCATCAGGAAGATTGTGGTGTCACCCTTGCTACAGCATACAGTAAGTGAATTTCTAACTTCTAAAGGACAGGGGAGGCCTAATGGAATTGAAGGAGCTTGTCCTTTAATGGAAGGGCCTGTTTTAACTTCCCTCGCCTGTATATCTGAATGTGAAATGTTAACATGTAATTTTCACAAAAGGTAGCTTTACACATTTTTGAAACATTGGGTTTGAATTGTGGGGGTTTGTGATTGCTTTACTTTAAATAATTAACTTTGCTTCTTTGTTTCTGAAACTATAACCTATTTTTTTTTTAGATCTTTGCAAATGTAAGCCTATGAAAGCCTCACAAAGGACTTACATGAAAAGCAATTACAACTATGGTAAGTAAGCCCTCAATGTAGGCTTTTAAGTTACAGTCAAAATGACACTAAAACACAGCAAAGCAAAGCTCAAGATGTACATATAGATAACCTTTTATATCTCTGATCTCTGAATTTACTGGTCCAAGATATAGTCAGCAGAAGCTGTACTCATATAGTATGAAGTTGAACTTCTTCTTTCTCATCCTGCTACTTGAGCCTCTCAGTTTGTCCTTTCATCTGGTGGGTTTCCTCAATGGCTTATAGGTAGGCTTGTAAGGTAGGATGGGGTAAAGTCATACTAATGTATAACTAAATACAAATTACTGTTTCTCTTTTGTGTGCTTTAGTTACTAAAGGCTTTTTTAAAATTTAAAATAACAAACATGTTATACTCACATGCTCTGTGCAATGATATTGCACAGAGCATCCCCGATCCTCCTCTTCTGGGGTCCCCTGCTAGCAATCTTGGCTATTCCTCTTCTCTGTGTGCCCCCAAGGCAAGCTGCTTGCTTGCTCTCGAGCTCTGTGTGTCTATGCAGCTGCCCTCCATAGAAACACACAGTGAGGCTTGGCCCCACCCCCCTTTCCACACAGCATTTGACTGACAGCAGCCAGAGCCATTTGCTTCTGCTGCTGCCCAAGTCCCTGTGTGAAGATGGAGAGAGAGGAGAGGAGAGAAGAGATCCAGCCATGTACAGCGCTGGATCGATTGAAGACTCAGTTAAGTATTTAGGGAGGCGGGGGGGACAGCAAACAGTAAAACACTTCAAGGAATGCATTAAGGTAAAACGTTTTGCCTTTAGAACCACTTTAATGCTTTTATTTTTGTTCTAAACCTCTAGTTAACTACATCTCCAGAGACTTTAAATAGATATAAATGTACACCTTTATACATCTGCTTCTTATCTGCTGCCTGGAGGCTTGCAAAATTATGTTTTGCAACATGTTTCATGTTCCTAGAAGTTGAGAAAGTACTGGCAGTTCTCATGCTATGCTCTTGGGTGGCTTATTGTCAACTGGTGAGCCTTATTTATCTCTTTTCAGGAGCACCCCTGCCATCCTGCCTACTGATGATAGCACAACGACAGCTGGAACACATTACCAAAAAAAAAACCCACTCATTTTTTAACAGTGAAACGCAGTCATTTGCAACATATCTTTGTTGGAAAGCATACCCAGATGGGTTATGGTGTAGTGGAGCTAAAGCCTCACGCATGTTTCTATTTAGTTTTGGATAGGGCAGTTAAAGTCTCTGTCAGGTTATAATTGCCTAATGGAGACATTTCTCCACACTGTCTTTAAGGACAGGAAGGGAAGAAAATTTTCTCCAGTGGGTACACAAACAATAACACACTAATAAAGTGGAGAAGGGTTCTGACAATTTGTTTTAATTGCTGTCTGTGTGGTGCTGCCCCCTTTCATTTTGTGTATGTCATGGGGACAGAAAGTGAAGAAAAATCTTCCTAATAAGTTCACAAACTGAAATAAAAACCTCATGGAAAAATTACATTTTCTTCCATCTTTCTTCTTCTGTATCATCTTCATTCCATGACTGCAGCTAAGGCTCCCCAAGCAGATCATGGGTCCTTTGGTTGTGAGAGCTGGCTCAGCAAATACTCACACTTTGAATCCACTCCATGATCCAGTGCCATCTCCACCTAAACTGTCTGGAATTAAAAACCTAGCAGAAATTTTAACTCTTCTCACTCTGTTGAAACATGAAAAACATTTGCTGTCTGTTAAGCTTTAGGCTTCATTCACACCACATGTGCAGAAAAACTGATGGAAACTGACACGCAGATTTCACTTGCAGGGACATCAGATTGCATCAGTTTTCAAATGAGCTTCACTGAGTTTTATACAGGATGCAGATTGCTGCGCAGAAAAAAAATCTGTGCTTGATACTAGTGTTGTGGAATGAATAGGGCACAAAGAGAACAATTTATTTCATTGTGCCCTTGTAGAACACGTGCAGTAAAACTGACATCTCTGCACCATGGTGTGAACAAGCCCTCAAAGTGGAACTAAACCCATCAATTTAACAGTTAAAGAAAACAGTTACATTCCTGGCATGTGTCAGCAATGTATGTAACTATCACATTTGCTTGTGCTCTCACCCAAACTATCCAACCATAAAACGTCTGTTGTCATAACAGATCCCATGTGCAGTATCATAGCAGTTGAAGATCAAACAGAGGCCAAGATTGCAGCTTCATTGGCTGAAAACGATAGGAGGGTTTAGTTCCGCTTTAAGAAGCACCTGTCATTTTACTTAGGGCAGCACAGTGGCTAGATGGTTAGCACTTCCACCTGGCAGTACTAGGGTAGTTGGTTCGAATCCCAACCACGGCACCACCTGTCTGGTGTTTGCATGTTCTTCCTGTGCCTGCGTGGGTTTCCTCTGGGTACTCCAGTTTCCTCCCACACTCCAAAGACATGCTGGTAGGTTAATTGGATCCTGTCTAAAATGGCCCGTGTATGTGTATGTATGAATGTGAGTTAGGGACCTTAGATTGTATGCCCCTTGAGGGTTAGGGACTGATATGAATGTGCAATATATACAGTATATGTAAAGCGCTGCATAAATTGATGGTGCTATATAAGTACCTGTAATAATAATAATAATAATAATACTTGTCTCACTGCTCAAGACACTGTATTTCTTTTATCTAACGTATATACTGCTGCCGGAAGTATCTTCTTCATCCAGCACTTCTTTGTGCTCTGTAGTTCTTCCTGCCACCTCCTACATCAATATAGGACATAGTAGAAAAGTAGAGTCCATTGGAAGAAACCACAGAGCACAGAGTGAAACCAGACATTCATCACACCTAGGTGTGAATGCTGAAAAACTTTCAGGCAACAATATTTCTTGAATAAAGAGGATATCAGGGGCATGAGAACTGAAACAGCTTTTAAAAAAAAAATGTTTGTTAGCTGATGACAGCCTCATTTTAGACAGTATCTGCATGTTTTACTTCCATCAAAAATCCATAAAATAAAGGGGTTATTTCTCATTATTGGATAGTGGATAGAGACATGCCCCGGAAAAATGGCGCGCCAACACCTTTCCAAAATTCATGGTGTTGTTGTCCTGTGTGCTGTGCTGCAATAAAACGCAGTGTGTCCCATTTTCACATGTGTTGCTGTGCACTTCAGCCCATTCAATGTGGTGTGCCTTGCAGTGCACAGCATTTTGGTGTGAATGGGTCATAACAGTGCATTATTATTACTATGAATTTTTTACATTAGTTCCACTCTTTGAATTTTTCATGCATGACAGACCAATAACTTTGCAATGTTTATGTGCTCATTGTCTGTTCTTTCCATAAATGTAGTAATTCGAGCCAAAGTGAAAGAGGTAAAGGTGAAGTGCCATGATGCTACTGCAGTGGTAGAAGTGAAAGAGATTCTCAAGTCTTCCCTCGTGAACATTCCAAAAGACACCATCACCCTGTACACAAACTCTGGTTGCCTGTGCCCAGAACTGCTCGTCGGTGAGGAATATATCATCATGGGTTATGAAGACAAAGAGCGTTCCAGGTAAAAGAACTACCACCAGCAAGCTTGTTCAGGAAGGTGGTGTAATGAGAAGTGAGGAAGTGCAAAGTACAGTGACCTTTAGCAAACCACCAGAAATTATTGTTTGTTTTTTTTTATATAGAGAAATGTTCTACCTTATAAATCTAATTAGTGAGATTTGCTTTCAATTTTTGCCCTGTACACATAACAGGAAGTGAGGGGAAACTTTTCCAACATAAGTCCCCCCTTACACAGTTTTTTTTTCTGACAAAGTGTACCCATGGAAAGATTTACCCTCTATTTCTGTTCTGTTGACAACTCAAAATTTTGGAGTTTCAGTCATCACAGTTATACACATTCCAGCAATAAAAACCTAATAAACGTTCTGGCTTCTTAACACTCTGTAAAACTGAAAAATAAAGTTTCGGCAAAGGATACATTTTAGAGTGGCCTTGTTGCCAAACCATTCATCTTAGCAACACTCTAACCATAAGATTATACAGTATGTGCATTCAACATTTTATGCATGTTATTTACCTGTAAAAGCCCCCCTCATATAGACAACCAAAAGCCCTGACACTGCTGCTGGGCACTGCATCTTGGATATGATGTCAGCAGACTCACTCAATTGACAATGTTTATTACTCCCCTATCACTTGTTCCCAAAAATCTACATAAAAGGCTATGTAGGGAGGGGAAGGGTGGGGCAGAGGAGCTGGATCAGCACAGAGAGTAATTAGACACTCCCAGAAGAGGAGAGAAGTATGATGCATAAGTAAGGAGGGGGCTGTGCTAGGCTATCGGTTAGGCAGTTCAAAGCAAGTTCAAAAGCTTATTGCAAATTAATAAATATTATGTATGGAAAGGAAAACACAAGTAATCATTTAAAATACTTGTTTTTTACTTTTACCTGCAATGTTTTAAGTTGGTAACAGAGACCTGACTGTAGTAATGTAAAATGTGTTACTACACTTTGAGCATCAGTTTCAATCTTTTGCTGTCATATTAAAGTCTGTAGATTTACCATAAATATGATTTTTGTGTGCTTGCAGAGTATGTCTAGATATTCATTAACATTTTTACAAAATGGTTGAACACAGTTTTAGTTGTTTAGGGGTTCTAGGAAAAATTGCTTAAAGTATTGTTCACAGAATAAGCATGCTCCATGCCATCTAGTCCTGTGACTCTCAGCATTTAAAAGAGACTCTTCTGCAGATTAGCAGTAACATTTTGCTTCCAAACATTTAAATAATTTCATGGTGGACATTTTGTTCAGACCTGATGAAGAAGGTGCAAAACCCTTGACCAGGGGCGGACTGACAACTCATGGGGCAATAGGGGATCATGGGGCCCCTATGTCCTTGCCCAAACTCAAAAAAGCCTATGAAAAAGGTACCAGGGGCATCTCATGGGGCCCCCTACTGACCTCGGGCTCTCGGGCAGTGCCCGAGTTTCCAAATGGTCAGTCCGCCCCTGCCCTTGACACACAGTAGCTTATACAAGATGTGTGTCCAATAAATTCATATTTTGCTTTATCAGTTTAAAGATGCTGTCTGCTAAATAACCCAACAGCCTACAGGCTTTTAAGCTGCTTTTGAGTTCAAGCTTTGTGTGATCTTTTGGCAAATCAAAGAGACAATCAAGCTAAAAATGACATGTCTGGTGTGCTCAGTATGTTCTATAAACTAAGTACAGAATAGCCCCAGCTGCCCTGGTTGTAGAGAAGTAATATATTCACAATTTGGGCAGTTTAAAAAAAGTGATATACAAGGATTACAATTTAAAGGTGATTTTTAATAACATTAAATAAAAAAAATGACTGGTGTTGCGGTTATATACTGTAGGTCATGTCAATGTTTAGCAAAAGTGGAATTTTTCATAATCTAATCATTTTTTGTGTAATGTATATGGTTGCCTTTTCAATATGCAATACATTACGATATGTGCCTAGCAAATAGCAAAATTACTCTAAATAATAGTATTATATAGTTCTATTTATGCAGGTGCATGGAGGATGTAGTGACTATATTATATTCTTCTTTTCCTTACAGACTTCTGCTAGTGGAAGGTTCCTTGGCTGAAAAGTGGAGGGATCGTCTTGCAAAAAAGGTTAAGGTGAGTCCTTATTTATTAATGGGCTTCAAAAGCTTGAAACAGAAAGGTGTCATCTCTATACCATGTTCTTTTTATTAATATTATTAATAAATATTTAAACAAAGAACATGGTATAGAGATGACACCTTTCTGTTTCAAGCTTTTAAAGCCCAAACTCCAGGCAAACATTTTTTCTGAAAAAAAAAGGAGCCCAGCCAGTGTATAAAAAATTAAAAAAGCAGCTCTGACTGCAATACTCACTTCTACTTGGATGCTCTCCCCCGCAGTGTCTTTTCCATGACACAAGATGTCCTCATTCTCCCAGAGTGAATGAAGCTTGGTGTCATTCAATCCAGAAGACTGAGGACATACGGTGAATGCATTGCGTTGAAGATAGTGAACATCTTGTCTGTCTAATAACTTATCTCAGCAGTTGTTATGCAGCAAGGCTAAATGTAGCTGAGCCTAATGCAAAGCTCCCTTTAGTGTCTAAACTGCAAATCTATGTATTTCATAAGTAACAAAAATACTGAGCTATAAGCAATTAAAAATGCTTCAAGTAGATCTGTGGCCAGACTAAAACACACCCTTGCTGACCTCTCTAGCTGCAGGCACTGTGTAGCAATTCAACCTCAAAGTTCAAAAGAGAAGCACTAAAGTTGTTCAACTCATGACTTCCTCCCAGAGTTTCTGCTGTGTTTAAATTAGACATTTGGACACTGTAAGGTTGCCAAGTCAGTTCTGGGAAGGGTGAGGAGTGAACTGAGCTGCTGCAATGAAACTGAAATTACTTTCTACTTTGAAATTTGAGAATAAAGTATTTTACAGTGCCTCAAGCTACAGAGGTCAATGAGGGTGTTCTTAAAGTGTATGCAAACCCAAAATTAATTTTTTAGTATGATTAGCATTGTGCCTTTCTATATATACTTTTCTTAAGAAAATATATTTTGTGAATCTGTTGCAAAGTTTATTGCCCCAATATCCTGCCAGTAACAGTACTTCTTGTAAACACACACTTACAACTTATTTAACTTACTCTTGCAACACTTAGGCCCTATTCACAACTTAGTGTATTGTAACTTGAAGCTCGAAGCTTCAAAATCCTCAAAATCCCATGTATTACAATGGTGACTGTTCACATATCTGTGGAATCTGTTGCAGTGTTTATTACCTCGATATCTTCTCTTTACATCACGTGCCAAGCGCACGCTGTAGATTTACTGCTACAATGCCATCTGGCTGCACAGAATCACATGCACTCACCAGCCACTTTATAAGTTACAACTTGCTAATACCAGGTTGGACCCCCTTTTGCCTTCGGAACTACCTTCATTCTTTGTGGCATAGATTCAACAAATGTGTTGGAAACATTCTTAAAAAGATTTTGGTCCATATGGACATGATAGCATTATGCAGTTGCTGCAGATTTGACAACTGCACATCCATGATGCTCCTGTTCCGTCACATGCCAAAGGTGCTCTATTGGATAGAGATCTGGTGACTGTGGAGGCCATTGGAGTACTGTGAACTTAATGTCATGTTTAATAAACCAGTTGGAGATGATTTGAGCTTTGTGACATGGTGCATTATCCTGCTGGAAGTAGCCATCAGAAGATGGGTATACTGTAGTCATAAAGGGATGGACATGATCAGCAACAATACTTATGTAGGCCATGGCGTTTAAACAATGCTCAATTGGTACTAAGGGGCCCAAGAAAATATCCCCCACACCTATACGTCACCAACACCAGCCTGAACCATTGATACAAGGCAGGATGCATGCTTTCATGTTTTGTACACCAAATTCTGACCCTACCATCTGAATGTTGCAGCTGAAATCCAGACTCATCAGACCAGGCAACATTTTTTCCAGTCTTCTATTGTCTAATTTTAATGAGCCTGCGTGAATGTTAGCCTAAATTTCCTGTTCTTAGCTGACAGGAGTGGCACCCGGAGTGGTCTTCTGCTGCTATAGCCCATCTGCTTCAATGTTCGACGTGTTGTGTATTCAGAGATGGTATTCTGCATACCTTGGTTGTAACGAGTGGTTATTTGAGTTACTGCTGCCTTTCTATCATCTCAAACCAGTCTGCCCATTCTCCTCTCACCTCTGACATCAATAATGCACTTTCATCCACACAACTGCGGCTCACTGGATATTTTCTCTTTTTCCTACCATTCTCTGTAAACCCTAGAGATGGTTGTGTGTTGTGCAGTTTTGTTAAATACTCAAATCAGCCTGTCTGGCACCAACAACCATGCCACGCTCAAAGTCACTTAAATCCACTTTCTTCCCCATTCTGATGATCGGTTTGAACATCAGCAAGTTATCTTCAAAACATCTAGATGCCTAAATGCATTGAGTTGCTGCCATGTTATTGACTGATTAGCAATTTGTTTTACCAAGTGGCTTGTGAGTTTGTATATATACGGGATTCTGCTTTTCTAGGTGGGGGGGGAAGCATGTGCGCCTGCCCACCCAGTCATGCTGTCATTGTCTCCATTACATGCTGATCACTGGGTCCCGTTCAATGATTCATGGCAGGTACCCGCTGATAGGCAGAAAGAGTGACAGGAGAGAGATCTGTGTATGTAAACAATACAGATCTCTGTCCTGAGAGTGGAGATGTGCCAGTTTTTGGGAAAAAAAACACTTGCACATCACCTAGTAAAACAGCACACAATACACAATAATACCACTCCCTAAGCACACAATTAACCCTTTGATTGCTGCAGATGTTCATCCCCTTCCAACCCAGTGCCATTAGTACAGTGACAATGCATTTTATTAGCACTGATCACTGTATTAGTGTCACTGGTGATGTCAGTGTTAGTTAGCCAGTGCCATAATATCACAGTCGCGCTATAAATGGCTGATTGCCGCTATTACTAGTATTAAAAAGTAAAAATTCCAGTATACATACCGTTATTTGTAGATGCTATAATTTTCATCTAAACCAATTAATATACACTTATTGGGATTTTTTTTTTACCAAAGACTTGTAGCAGAATACATTTTCGCCTAAATTTATGAAGGAATTTGCTTTTTTGCTTTTTTTTTTTATTGGAAATGTTTTATAGCAAAAAGTAAAAAATGTCTTTTTTTTAAAAAAAAAAGTCAGTCTTTTTTAATTTATAGTGCAAAAAATGAAAACTCACAGGTGACCAAATATCACCAAAAGAAAGCTCCATTTGTGTGACGTTCATGTATAGTGTTGCATGACCACGCAATTGTCAGTTAAAGTAGTGCAGTGCCGTTTAGCAAAAAAATGGTCTGGTCAGGAAGGGTTGTAAATCTTCTGAAAGGCAAGTGGTTACAGCTTTCAACACTTAGGCCCTATTCACACCTGAATGTATTGTAACTTGAAGCTTCAATATCCTCAAAATCCCATGTATTACAATGGTGGCTGTTCACATATGAGTGCTCAGATGCCTGTAGCTCAAAGACCAATTCATGGCTTGAAGCTCCAAAACTTTGAAGCCTGATATTTCAAAAGTTACATAAGATACTTTTGAGGCAGATTTGAGCATTTTTGACCCCATAGACGTCAATGGGAATGCCTGTCAACACTTGAGATAAACTCTTTTGAGCAGTTCTTCAGGCATGTTTCAGGAATTTTATAGCCTGTAAGAACTGGTTGCTGTCCCCTAGTGCTTTCCATTGGCTAAAACAAAAATTGAATACACATATAAAATGCTTGACATATGCCTCTAAAATGCTTATATATGTGTACAAAAAAAATGCCTGAAAGTAAGCCTACTCAGCATCTAAATTCTCATGTGAACAGTCACCATTATAATACATGGGATTTTGGATACTGAGGTCGAGCTTCAAGCCACAAAACACTCAGGTGTGAATGAGTCAATTTTTTTTTTAATCAGAAATAATGTTTATTGAGGTACGTCTATTAAACATACATGAGAATGGACAAAAAAACAATAAAGTGTATTCCAAGGCATTAAGGTAACACAGATATAACAAAAGAAAACAATATTCTTAAGCAATTAAATCAACAGCCGGTCAATAACTAACAGGCGCAAAGCCTGGCACTGCTAACCAGTCAGCCCATAGTTTTTTGAATTTTCCTGGACAGCCTCTGTATTGGAAAATAATTTTCCCAGATACGCAACCCAGTCTTTGTGTGTGGGAACACGGTCAGATTTCCAATGCTGGAGAATAAGTCTACGAGCCTGGAACATTTTATTAACTGCAGCCTCTTGGAAACCTTTTAATGGAAGATCATGTAGTATACCCAAAATGCAGCCTGTAGGTTCAGTAGGGACAGTATTGTGTACAACTGTATAGTATCAACAATGTCTACCCAATACCAATGCAGTTTTAGGACAACGCCATAAGAGGTGAATGAGATTCCCCTGGGCTCTTGCACATTTAGCACAGAGAGGAGGTTGGAAGAGCCCCTTATGATGAAGTCTAAGAGGGGTGGATTGGACATGGAACAATATAAATAGTTGCAAAAGCCTCTGACCGGTATTAAGGGAGCTATGCAAGACAGATTCCAATGCGTTAACCCACAACTCCTCATCTAAGGGGCCTATGTCTCATTCCCATTGTACCTTAGCCTTACAAGGACATCCTTCTAGGTATGGAAAGAGTAGCATGTCATAACACATGGATATAAAACTCTTAGTGTATTTAACCTATTGAACATAGTGAAAGATTGTCGTGGGGGAATGAGACCAATTAGCTAGAGGGCCCTGTGCTCAAACAGCATGATGGAGTTGGAGATATGAAAACTGCAGTGTGGAAGGGAGGTGAAATTCCCCACTCAGATCTGCGAAGGGTCAAAGAGATTCACCATCGATGATCTGCTTCTAGTGAGTAATGCCATAGCGCTTCCACAGCCCCACACACTGAAGCTTCTCCAGTTCCCCATAAGTTGGGTTGTGCCAGCTAAGACTGTAATCAGTAAATCCCCCTACTCCCTGAAAGGCCCACACCTTGAGCCAGATCTTCTGAATTAATGAGTAAGTAGGAAATGCTTTATTAGATGACAGGAAGG